TGGTCTACTTCGTCTTTGTGAGTTCCTAGTTAAAAAGAGCCGGAAAAAGCTTACAAAAATAGCTTATAGTCTTCATAAAAGACGCAAAATCCATCACATAAATGGTCTTCCAAATTTAATAGGACATTTAATACCACTTAATCCAGGTTTATAACAAATCTGTTGCCGCTAACCGAGCGTAGAATCTAAGTTTTATAAAATAAACTTATTGCCGCTAATCGAGCGTTGAATCCAGGTTTTACAAAATAAAACTTGATACCGGGGATTAGCCTTGTTGCCACTAATTGAGCGTAGGCACTGTAAAAGTGCAGTCTTGTCCCTGCAGTCTAGTCCCTGTTAAACTATCAATGAGGACACATAAAATCTAAGTGGTCTACTTCGCCTTTGTGAGTTCCTGGTTTTAAAGAGCCGGAAGAGGCTTTATAATAAAATAGAGCCTATATGCGTTTCACTGTTCTTGTTATTATTGTATTATGGGGGTTTAAAAAGATTGTTCAGTTCATGCTGTGTGTGGTGGGTTACATCGAGCACTCTGTGATCGTCCTTGTTGTCTGCTGTTCGACTGGATTGATCGTTGTGTTATGCCTTCGTTCTGTGGATGTGTGTGTATGGTTGAAGAAGAGAAAAATAAAAAGAGGAGACTGACGAAGAATCGGCCAGCTATTGTGGTACTTGGTCCGGGAACACTCGTCAGGATTCTGACGAGTGTTTCGGGTGAGAGTGCACACTTAGCCAGTGATATAAGGGGGCTTTATCTTCGACGCGCGCTCAGAGAGTGATAGAGCCGTGCGGTGTGCAGAGCCAGGTTGGAACAATATTATCAGTACGCCAGTGCTAGCATCCCGCTAGCTAGCTTAGCCGCACAGTTAGCATTAGCTCCTCTCCTCCACGCCGGAGGTCGCTACAATATTTTGTCAAGACACTGGCAAGGAGGACACCATTTGTTTTAAAGTCATGGAGCTACTAGAAGCTTTCCTCCAGTCTACCAGTTCTGTCTCCCTGCTGGGGGCTCTGGTGGTTCTACCTCTTGTTTACATCATCTCATCCTCCATCTTCAAAACCCAGGAAGACAGGAAGGATCCTCCTGGACCAAAACCGCTTCCTCTCCTTGGTAACCTGCTGCAACTGGACCTAGAGAAACCATACAACACGTTACTGAAGGTGAGGAAGTGACTGCAGTAGTTTGTGTTGTGGGGGCGACAGTGGTGCGGTGGGTGTAGCCGGAGGGTTGAGGGTTCGAACATGTCAAAAGTGTCCTTGGCCAAGACACTGAACCCTCCAAGTTGCCCGTGATGGCGGCGCGTATGCATGCAGCGGCCCGGGGCCCTCGGCTCCAAACAAAATTTTGTCGTACGTGTTACAATAAAATAAAGCTTTTTCTTCTTGTATGGCAGTTTGTTGTGTCTGCTTCTCAGACAGACTGATCACAATGTGCATATGTGTGATAAAGGCATTACATTATATC